AAAAAAAAAAAAAAAAAAAAAAAAAAAAAAAAAAAAAAGAAAGAAACGAAAAAAAAAAACTCTTTCACTTTCCAATAAAATATTACCTACTCGTTTGAAATGTACCGTTTCTCCACCGATATTTTCCCTCGAAAAACTACGAGGTTAGATTAAACTTCTGTCCAATTTCTACGAGAATTTTTCAATCACGAAAAATATAAAAGCGTCTAAAATTGAAACAATAAAAATTTATTTTTTGAAAATGAAAATTTGATCAATAATAATTAAACGAAGTCTTTTTCTCAATACTTTGCAGATTTCGACGCGGATTCGCCCATTTTTTCTCCTGGTGCCCTATGGTAAAAGTTCCGCCCGAGCCTTCGTTATCACGATCGGAGGCGTTAACGTCGCGATACAGTTGCACAGGAAGTCCTCAAACGAACACAAGGATATCACGGAACGGTACGTCCTCGTCCACGTCTTTGGAACGCTCTTGCACAACATCGTCTACAATGGCATCCACGAGCGAGTCACGATTCGAGCACGATGACACCCATACGGACGCGCAAAATTCTTACATAGATTTGCACGATCTCGCCACAGCCAATGCCAAAGCCAATGAATCGCGAGACGAAATAGAGTAACGAAATTGACACGACGACTCTGAAAATTGATTCGTTCGGTAACAGGTAGCTTTTAACAACTTTACGTACGAATCGAACGAATCGAGAAAAAGAAAAAAAAAACATCTCGATCGGTATTTTCGCACGAGCTCGATCGATAAGAAAGAAATCATTACAACTCAGCGTATAAACGTATATTATTTGCATATGTGTTTCATTATGAACGATTCATAAATGAATTTATAAAGTAAGAAATCAACTTTTACATAGATGCAATATATCTTTATGTTAATTAATGCCTGATCGAATTTATGCATTTAGAATTCTTATTTATAAATGAAAAATCCTTCTTCCTAACGAGAAAAATTGGTTCCTAAATTCCAAAATACAATTTTACTGTATCATTAGAAATGTAAAAAGAAAAAAAAAACTATACTATTAATATATCGATACAAACAAGATCGATTTTTAATTTTTAATAGGTACGCCGCGAATACATATGTGTCTACGATCGAGAGGAGGAAACGATCGATTTTTGGCTGAGCATCGAGGAAGGAAATGGAAAACCTCGCAAACTATGGGTCACGTGTCTTGACAGGAAGAAGAAAACGCTCAGCAACGAGTACATACCTGGATATAAGAGTACATATCCATAAAAAGTCGACCTCTTCAAGATTCATCGCGAATGAAATAGAGAGAGATTGAGAGGAGCCGTTAAATTCTAGATCTTCTTTTACGCACGCAGACCTGTTATGATCAGATCAGATCAGACCAGAAAGCTCAAATAATTGTTCACTATGTTCAATAGAAACGTTAACTATCCGCTACTAGAATAAATATTTCCGTTTCGATGTAAACGACGCTGAATCGAACTTCAACACGACGATGAAAATCAAAGGATTCATAAAAAAAAATGATCTTTCTTGCATTTTTATTTTTTATCGATAGATTTGATAAATAAAAATTCTTTTAAAAACTATTAATTTTACGAACTATTATACGATAGTGATAATTAATTATTGCCGAATAAATTATAAAGTTGTGCACTTTATGATTCTAATAAGAATCTTCTTATTTAGAAGATTTTTTATTTGGAAACTTTGAATCAAAACTTTGCTTCATACATTTAACTGAATGAAAAAATAAAATATTTTCATATTTTTTTTTTTGCTTATATTGTTATAGCACAATATAAGAAGATGAAAAGTTAAATTTACATTAAAACACACTTATTATATATAAGTTATATATAAGTTATATTATATATAAGTTAAATTGTTTAGTATATGTATGTATAAACATTAACGGACCAATAATCTATCTACTGCTATCTGCATATGTTTATGAAAAAGTTTCCTTTTTCTAACAAAAATAGAATTTTAATGAGAAATTTATAAGGACATAGATCATGATATAGTAGTTTAATGTGTGCAGTTTTGTAAAACATAAACTGCTTAATTAATTCTTCCTACTACTAAGTGTTCCTACTGTGTATTGGTATAATAAATCTAATAGGAAAGAATACTAATTTTCATCGAACGAAAATGTTTTCTATTTCAGATGATAGTTTCTTTAAAAAATGAAAAATCTATATTTTTAATGAAATTTTGCTACTTAAACAAGCTTATATCTTGTTTGATTTCACTCAAGTATTATTGTTTAAAAAAAAAAATAATGAAAATATTATAATTAATATAAAAAATATAGATAATGTTCTATTACAAATATTAAAAATAGTTATGATAAACATTTTCGTTCTAAAAATGAACAAATGTATTTATGAATAAATGAATAATTTATGGAATAATTATTTTGTTGAAAATATATTTACTTAATTGTTTGTATAATCTGATTTGTATCTTAATATTTCATTTATCAATAATTTATAATTTTTTCCAATTTTCAAAGAAATCTAATAAAATTCTTAAAATTTTTGAGCGAAAGTGTATATTTACTTTGGTTGTCTATACCATATATTTATTTAAATAAATTGTTATATACAAAATGTTAATAATAAACGCTAAATGCATCGTAAAAATTAATCATTAATGTTATGATTCTTTGTAAAAATAAATTTAGTTTAATATGTATAATATTTTAATACGAAAATTATTATTATTTTTTTTTTTTGATTAAAAAAGAAATAATATATATTTAGTACTGATAATGTTTTGCAAACGTTGTTCGATTATTACATTTAATTTATGTATTTATATCAAACAAAAGAAATAAAAAATTTTTTTTTTAAATTGGCCAAACTGAAAACTAAGTGAATTAATAATTATTTCAATATTAATCGATATTATTTATATTTTCCACTGTAATGTTGTACGGAGAAAGAACACTCTGGGAAAAATAAACGCTTTTTAATATAATAGTTAAGTCTAAATGTATGTATAACTACATATATTAAATGTATTGAAAAAAGCTTAAGCTTGGTAAAGTAAGAAAAGAATATATTATTTGATATGTTTAAAAATATGTGAATAATAATATAAGAGACTGCTTCTTTTTGCAGGGAAAAGCTTCCTAAAAATTGTATTTTCATCATAAACAAATAATATAAAAATTAAGAAATGAAAATATACGATATTAAAAGAAATAATTAATGTGATTTGTATCTATTTTATAAAAAATACATTGATTTAGATGCTGAAATATAAATGACATATCCTGTATGTATAGATATATAGATGTTTTTATCCTGTATTAATTAAAATTTTACATATATTATTATTTTTATTTATAGAAATTATATTTCTATAAAAAGCAAAATATTTTTCAAATAAAATTTTATATTTATTTACAATTTTCACAATTCACACATTTTTATTATATTTTAATTTTTTCTTCTAACTTCTATTTTATCTTCTATATTAATTATTATAATAATATAAATATGTTAAAAATGGCTTATAATACTTATTCATAAAATTAATTGATTTATTAAATAACTAACAAATTTATGGGAAAATGTAACTAGATTTTTCTATAAAATAAAAAAACACAAAAGTATATATATTTTCATTATATTAACATAAATTAATATAAGCAATTTTACAAAATTATCCTATGAAATAGTTAATCAATTAACAATATCTTTTTCAGATTTATCTATTTTATCCCACTCATCATAATTAAATGAAAATGGAAACATTCTATCAGTATATAAATGACCCTAAAAAATAATAAAATATATTATTAAAAATAATAAAATATATTATTAAAAATAAATATAATATATTTATATTATTTTTTATTAATCTTTTAATTCTTAGCATGATAAGGCTAAATAAAGCTATAGATAATAAATGTACAGTAAATTTTGATGATATAATTAATTAAAGAAAAGAAAAACTATAATATAATAGTTAAAAAAACAAATGATCAAATAAAATGATAAAGGAAAATATACTTACTTTTAAATGATCCATTTCATGATGAATAATTCTAGCTAACCAACCTTCTGCTTTCATAGAAAATGGTTCTCCAAATTTATTAAGAGCTTCAATTTGAACTTCTTTTGGTCTTGGTACTTCTGCATAATAACAATGAATACTCGCACATGTTTCAAAATGTACAATTTCTTCAGAATTTATTATTTTCATTTTTGGATTAATAAAATATGTTAATGGATAAGGTATGATATCATAACATTTTCGTATATATGGATGAATACATTTTACAGATTCTTCTGTCACTTCAATAGCAAATAATTGCCAAGGTAAGCCAATTTGTGGTGCTGCTAATCCTACTGTATCATGTTTTTTTAATAATTTATATAAATGATCAAGTATCTACAATAAAAAAATTAATACATGAATTTGTAATAAAATAAATCATATAATTGAAAAAAATACCTTCATTAATTATATAATTTTTAAAGTAAATATTTTTATTATAAAAATCTTTTTCATTAGATATAAGATAGAAGTATTATTATATATATCTAATAAAGTATTATTAAGTTTAATTTTATAATTTCTATATTTTCTTATAATGCGAAAATAAATTTCAATTTAAAATATTAATTTATTATTTTAAGTATTTTAATAAGAAAATAAAATTATTTACAATTTATTTTTTAAATTGAACAATTATTTAAAGATATAAATTAATAAAATATAAAAACATACTTTTTGAAATTCTTGCGTTTGTATTATTTTTTCATCTATAAATGATGTTTTCTGTCTTAAAACAGGATTACCAACTTGACAAATAAAATTATAAGGAGGTTTTGTAATTTCAGGTGTTTCAGTCAAATATATTTCACAAAGTTTTTTTAAACTTTGAAAACTAAATGCACATGTATTATTTTTTTGCAAAGTCTTTATAGATCTATTGACTATATTAAAACATTTGAACATTATTTTGATTATTGTTTTACAGTATTCGTAAGAATTTTTGATAGAGTCGAAAAGGTTAAACTTCTACGATGATAGAATATGTTGGTACTATGATTTAACGGATCAAATATATTATTAAATATTTTAATGGAAACA